CCACCACCAATGCCGCCACAGGACCCTGCCCCACCGCCGCCGCCCGTAGAAACCTCAGCCTCAGACACTGCAGCAGAATCGCTGAAGCATGAACAAAGCTTGGATTTGCGAGGCCACGGGGCAGCTTCGGACCACTTTGGACGCTGGGCCCCCAGTACCCATGTGTAGTCCGCTTTCTCTAGTGTGATGCGCTTAGGCTGCTGCTGAGCCTGACAATCGGCAACCGGTGACCCCACCGAAGAAGGCACGTGACATTGGCCTTTGAGCGCGGAAGAGAAGCCACAGTGGCCAGGCGGCTCAGACGAGGATCAAGCCCAAGTGGGCGAAGGCCACAGACTGAGTAGCAAATCTTTTTCCCAGACTGTTGCCCCGCTTCGTTTGTGCAGGGCGATGGACAGACCAGCGCCGGCGAGGAGATGCCGGCCAAACACTCAGGTTGAAGCGATCAGATTTTTACTTGGTTGCCTTGATTGTCTATTGTAACACAGTTTCAGGCAGCAGAGATCTTCAACGAGGCGCCGAAGGCTGGCAACGGTGACCCTTCAACGCATCAACCTCTTCCCTGCCACCATTTCCCGTTGTGTTAGGCCCCTGCGGGTTCTGCTGAGCGGCTGATGATTGATCCTGACACGGGCGCCGGGAGCCCCGGTAGTATCATTCACAGGCTCAGCAGCCAGTGATGTTCAGAACTCATAAGTATCAACAGGATCCGATGCTGATGGCACCACGTGCGCATGAACGAGCAGCACATCGAGTTGCCGAGAGCTCATGTGACGGTACTAAACGCTTGTTGTGTGGCACATCCGGTTGTCCAGGCTGTTGAAGAGCACAGAAGCCGCGTTCACCAGCGGACGCCGAAGAAGGAGGCCGCATCTATTTGCCAGAAACTCATGAGAGCAACTAGCCGAGTGATGCAACGCAGGATGGCCCGCTGAAGCAGAAGCCACGGATCGAGTGAAGACCGGCCGTGGGACAGGGAAGGAAAAAGTGAAGAGAGGGCCCTTAGTAGGAGTGGCAGTCGTAGCAGTAGTCGTAGTAGCAGCACTTCTAGCAGTAGTCGTGGCAGTAGCAGTAGCAGTAGCAGTAACAGTAGCAGCAGTGATAGTAGTAGTAGTAGTAGTAGTAGTAGTAGTAGTAGTAGTAGCTTAGTAGTAGCTTAGTAGTAGTAGTAGTAGTAGTAGTAGTAGTAGTTGTTGTTGTTGTTGTTGTTGTTGTTGTTGTTGTTGTTGTAGTTGTAGTAGCTTAGTAGTAGTAGTAGTAGTAGTAGTAGTAGTAGTAGTCGTGGTGGTAGTAGTAGTAGTAGTAGTAGTGGTGGTAGTAGTAGTAGTCGTGGTGGTAGTAGTAGTAGTAGTAGTAGTAGTAGTCGTGGTGGTAGTAGTAGTAGTAGTTGTTGTTGTTGTAGTTGTAGTAGTAGTCGTAGTAGTGGTGGTGAGAACAATTCTGATAGTACTATTATTAATGACAACAATGCCAATTAACAATAGCAATATCGCCAATATTATTGCTACTCACAAGTATTCCACTGACAACAACAACAACACCACCACCACCAACAACAACAACAACAACAAGAACAGCAACAACAACAACAACAAGAAGAAGAACAGCAACAACAACAACAACAACAACCGTGATTATAATCAAAATCCTAAACTATTAAACCCTAAACTTTTAAACCGTAAACCCCAAATCCTTCAACTAGTTCCCCTGAATCCTAAACACTAACCCAAAACTTAAACCCTCACTCCCTAAACTAGCTCCCCTGAACCTTCAACCCTAGATCCCTAAAGTAGCTTCTTATAGCCGAAATAACAAGTGCTCAGGCCAGAACCTGGCTTCGACGCCGTCGCCCGAGCTGCACATCCTGCACGGAAGGATTGTCGTTTCGGGATTAGGGGTTATTCTTTAAGGGTTTGGGGTTCGGAGCTCAGATTACTTAGGGCTTGAGTGTTTGTAATCGGCATTTCTGATTTTGCACTACCACACGGCCGGACCTATGCAGTCAGTGTGAGACATACGAACCATTATTTCAAGGCCATGATGAGCTTTCTGATCCGTGGGTAACATTGACTCCCCTGTCCCTGTAGATTTCGCAAGTGTCTGAGTTTGCAAAACCACGAATCTAGGCAACCCGAGATGGGTAAACACTCTTGCGGTGAATAAGGCTACTGGTTTCACACTTGAGTCCTAATGCACTTCACTATCCAAGGCTTTCGGGCTACAGGCTCCACGGCTTTCGTGGTTTAAAAGCTTCACCAGGACGGTCCTCGACGGCAGCGCTATCACTTCGCCATTGTCCTGTGGAGGACTAGTTTAACCGAGCAGCCGGTCTAGGCCAATTAGGCTTTCCCAGGGCTGCTTGTGGTTTGTTGCACTTTTGCAGTGCTCTTTGGTTTGCACTTTTTCAGTGCTCTTTGGTTTGCACTTTTTCAGTGCTCTTTGGTTTGCACTTTTCCAGTGCTCCTGGGTTTGCACTTTTTCAGTGCTCCTTGTTTGTTGGCACTTGTTCAGTGCTCCTTGTTTGCTTGCACTTTTTCAGTGCTCCTGGGTTTGCACTTTGCTACAGTGCTGTTGGATTTGCACTTTTTCAGTGCTCCTTGCTTGTTTTTTCCCATCCTTGTTTGCTTGCACTTTTTCAGTGCTCCTGGGTTTGCACTTTACTACAGTGCTCTTTGGTTTGCACTTGTTCAGTGCTCCTTGCCAGTTTTTTCCCATCCTTGTTTGCTTGCACTTTTTCAGTGCTCCTGGGTTTGCACTTTACTACAGTGCTCTTTGGTTTGCACTTGTTCAGTGCTCCTTGCCAGTTTTTTTCAATCCCCGTTGTTTGTT